CCTCTAGTAATATAAAATTGGATTAATGATTTAAAAAGATACCTGTGATCTGGTAAATTGGAACTTACAGACATGGACTGGGTTTACATTCAGTCTTAGGTCATAAAATCTGCTTTACAAAGAAACACTTATCTTCTAACACACAAAGCCTGCTTAAGAAAGTGTTTCAAAATATTTTCCCTAAGATGTTGGCAAAACCAAAGCTTTGAATTCATAGGCGAGTTATAAATGATTTTAATCTATTCTTTAAAGCAGGCCCAGGAGGTGGTTTATGTAATAATATCCTTCAGTAATCATTGGCTTATGTCATTATATATCCACGTGTGTATGCAATAAAACATTTAAAAATATTCTATAACTTTGACTTTCCACTAATGCAGGCCGATCTTGGCCAGTTATTATTAGTTTAAAAGGACTGAGTTGATTAGATTCTTTTCTTGCATCAAATCACGTTTTATCTTTTCTCACTCAAGCCACCACAGTGACAAAGAACGAGCACTCTATGCTCTAGCTCACTGAATCCTCACACAACTCACATGGTTGGTATTATTAGCTCCATTGCACAGACAAAGAAAATGAGGCTCAAACAATCAAATCTCGGCTATCCAACTCTAAAAAGCTGGCGTGATTAACCACAATGCTGCAGAAATGCCTTTCCCCTATGTTGTGCCAAAAAAATCACTGTCAGAGAGAACCTGAGTCACAACGATTTAAGTTGCAAGATACTTTGTGGCTGACAAAGAACCTCCACAGCCTCCTCATGGGAGGCACAGGGTACAGTATTCATGTGTACACAAAGCTCATTTCCGTTAGTCACTACCTGGGAAATCCAGAAAATGGTACACTTTAATTTGCAAAGAACCCTTGTGTCTGTCCCTTCACCCAGAGAGGGGACAGGGAGGAAGTCCATGGATTTAAGATGAAGATGCATTCACTGAGTAAAATCCTTTACTTCTACGTTCATTAGCTGATATATAAGCCAGCCACCCAATGGGGAAGGCTGCACAATGGGACCACCCCTCCTTGAGGGACCAGGAGACCGAAGCTCAGGACTACAAAGTGAAGTCCCAGAGTTGGTGGGTGACACTGGCAGGACCAGAGCCCAGGCCTTTGCATCTCTTCTTGGGGGTCTGAACCACACCTTGGGGGCCTAACCACAGGTATGCCTGGTGTCAGGTGGGTCCTGCAGGTGAAGAAGTGAGCCCACTGCCCAGGACCACCATTTTCCCCCCAGGGTATCTGGCAGTGGTTCTAAAGAAACCAAGCACTGAGACACCAGTGAGTTCTCTTATTCGGTCTATTTACTGGCAAAAACCTCAAAAGGGACAAGGAGTTTAATGAATAATTTTAAAAGTAAAAAAATCACCAAGCTTCTAAAACACACACACACACACACCAAAAAAAACCCCCAAAAACCCCAGCATGAGAAGAGACGTATCTATCTGATTTATAGACGTGAATGAGACATTCTTTCCAATCCCTGGTCATAACGGAACCATCTCCTCAATGACAATGTGAAATTGTAGCACAAGCTACAGACCTTCTCAGCTCCCCCTCCCCAGAGAACGCTACCGTCAGAGATAAAAGCCTTCATCTGTGTTCATGCTTGGTTACACAGGGTGTACACTTCATAAACTTCATACTCACCTTGAGAAAAGCATCTGTTGTAAAACCGAAGATTTTTCCAAAGCATCAGTCTTAGAATGCTTTAAACATGTACCAACACCAAATCAAGTGTGATTAAAACCAGTTCACGAATACAATAGGATGGCATGGCCACACACACAAAAAAAGAAAAAAAGCCAAGGAGCAGAAACAAGTATTTCCAAGGGGTTAACAGACTTAAAAGACACACAAGCATCATTTAACGATTGTTCATCAGAAGGCGATAGCAAGGTCTAAAGTTTCTAAAACGGGAGGCTTTTAATTCAGTGCTTTAAGGATTGTGTGCTGGTCTGATGGTCCCTAAGGAGCCACGCGACACAAATTATCCCCCTTTTAACATCTACCTCCCTTCAATGTTCCCTAAAAAAAACTGTGAAGATTCTAAGACTAAAGCAAATTTTTAAAAATTTAACAAGAAAATGCATACGAGTGACTCTTTTTGATTTTTTGTTGTTGTTGCTTTGGGAGCCAGTCAAGGGGGAGGAGCTGGGCAGAGGAGCAGGGAATTGTTCAGGGAGGTGGGAGCAAGCTCCTCATCGGTTTTCCCCTGCAGATCCCATATCCCCTTTCAAGATCCAGCTCACAGACATGCAGCCTTCCCAGCCCTTTGGTCTACACCTCTGTTCCAGCTGTGCCATCCTGCACTGCTTCACAACAGTCTCCCCACCAGGCACTGAAAGCCTGAGCCCAGCGCCTCTGTGTCTTCGGCACACCGGCACCTCGGGTCTCTGGTCCAGAGCCGGGCACGCCATTGCAGTCTCCCTCAGAAGGGATCTAGTTTTGTTCTGATACCAAGATGTTTTAACATTACTTGTTATTTTCCCTAAAATATATCCCAGTAAACTGGCCGTCCCATGAGGGTGTCACTGTTGTCATCCTCCATGGGGGTCAACATTTAATGCCCGCCACCATTCTGATAAGGAGCCCTTCCTCCCACCGTTTCCTTTTCCCCTGTCTCGAGCTGCTTCATCATCATGCTGGGGCGATGCCTCCTGCTCTGGGAAGCTTAGAGATAAGGCATGTCACTGGCACTGTTAAAATTAGCAGTTTCCATGGCCTCAGTCAGTTTGGTTGAACTTAGAAGACATGGGGTGCCAAGGAATGCATGATAGAATTGCTGTTAACCTCATGCGGGCCATTCCTGAGGCAAAACTGACACTAGGCTGTTTCTCCAGGGATAGATTCCACCCTTACCAGCCCAACACTAACCTACGGCCACAGAGATTCATCAGGATGAAAGCACTCTTCGAGGGTTACGACTTTCACACAGGGGCTTGTGGACCCAGTCCTCTGTAGAAGGAAGCTTTGGTGGGAGTGGGGGATGCTGTCACACCCTCAACCTGGCCCCACTGCCCTCACTGGGGGCTCGGGCTCCAGGGCTGTCTCAGAGAGGGGCTTCCCGAGACAGCTGTGCGTCCATGGTGTAAAACTGACCACACTCCATCAAGGAGAACCCCAAATACGTTATCCCCTGAAAACAGGCAGGGCAGTTTAGAGGGTGGACAAGGAGCTGTGCTCTCTGCTCCGGAAAAGGCGGTGTTTGGACAAATGTGATCCAGGGCTCCTTGCTGACTCAGCATTCCGTGAAGGCATCATCCCTGCCCCCCACCCTGAGACACAAGCTTGGAAAGAGGAAGATAAAGCAGGTGAGGATTCACTCACGTGGAATGAAGGGTCCCACCAGTACTTCCTGAGGAAGTGTGAGCATGGTGGGTGACTAGGTTCCTCTGGGGAGATGGGGCCTCTGCCCTCCAGCAGAGTTTAAGTTCTGGGGCAGCTTCTGGGAGACCCCAGACAGCCGCTTCTTCCTTCTCAGGGTGCTCCTCTTTCTGGGTGGTCTGTGGGTGGTGAGGACACAGAGCCGCCCCAGGGGCTTGGGACAGCATCCCCGAGTACAGGCAGGGCAGAGCCCAGAAACACCAGGAACCCCTTCCCGAGCCAGCCTCCACTCTCTATGGAGAATCCTCTCTATGGGAGGTCATCCAAGGGGTGGAGGCAGCCAAGTGACATTTCAAAAATGGTGACTGAGTGAGCAGGACCATAAGGCCCTAGGAAGTGTGTATGCAAAAGCTGCTCATTACTCTGCATTAGAGATTCCACAAGTGGAAACTAATCATGAGTTAGACAGACAATTCTCACAGTGACAGTAGCAGAAAACCAAGCAAATAAATGACTTGAAGGATGCAAGATTTTGAAAATGTCTAGTATTTATGTGCTAATCTAGGCTTATTCCTCTTTCTCAATAAAAACTGAAATGCCCAGGAAATATTCATGATACACTATGGGTAACTCAAAAAGGCCAGGTTATATACTAACGGGAACAAAGCCACAAAAACATAAGGCCCTTTCCTGGGAGACACCAAGGCTGGGACTCCTTTCAGTCACTTGCAATCCGCTTCTGCACATGGGCACACTAATGCACCTGGCTTCAGGGACACGCTTTCATGAGATTAATAATGTGTGGCAAGCGTCAGAAACACAGAATCCCACAGAGAAGATACAGGCAGAGAGAATCACAGTTCAATCCAAAAGCAACACACAGAAGGGATGTCAGAGTCCACACGCATGCAGAGGAGGCGCAGGGAGCAGCTGGGGGACACGCAGAGCCGCCCCACACGAGGCAGCAGCAGAATGTGCAACACGGATCTGACTGCTTACCCACTAAGGACACCAAGAACCAGGTTAAGGACGAAAAATGAGCCAAGGATGATCAGACTAACAAAATACACCCATGGCCATTCCCATCCTATCGCATCATTTACCTGTAAAATGTAAGGAGATCAGTTATCAGTTATCCATTTACTAAAGAGCGGAGCCCCCAGGAGCAGCTGCTAGACCACTCAGGGCTTTGAGTGAAGACTACAGCTCTGAGGACAGGGACCCCCACCTAGGACCTTTCATTTTTGTCTGCGGGTACGGACAAGTTCTGCTGCTGAAATCTACAAACCTGGCCTACCAAAAGTCGGCCAGGACCAGCTCATTTAGCTACTGTTTTGTACCAATTAATCTGCATATTTGGATCCAGACCAATCAAGCAATTATAGATGTATCTCATTTTAGGACAGACAAAAGGGCAAGCAATGGAATCTATTTAAATCCCAAGCAACAACGCTGATTAATTGCTGGTCAATAACCATTCCATAGCTTTCTTTCATAAAGGCTGGTGAGGTTCCAGGAAGCATCTTGATTTGGGAAGCCTCAGCAGAAGAGAAAGCATCTCAGAGGACATAGAACGTGTTTGGCACCCACCCGGCCAACCCCATCTGGCAAAACCTGTGTGGTCTTGGCAACTGTCCTCAGGACTCTGCTTTCAAGATGAAAGAGGTGTAGCTTACCCGCTCAATACACCAAGTACAAGATTTAGTACGAAAAATGACCCAAAGATGACGAGACTGACAAAATACACCCAGGGCAATTCAAATCCCATAGCATCATTCATCTGCAAGAAATAAGATGGTCTCATAGGAGTGGGTTAATAAGAGGATCTAATAAAGAGAGAGGGTCATTAGAGACAGCATTCTATACATTAAATTAAACATTTACTTAGATTTGAATCAGAGACAACAGTAGCCAAGAAGCATTCACTATATATTCCCAACACACACACACACACACACGCACACGCACACGCACGCACGCACGCCCATGAAGAGTCATCAAAGCTTTGGGGGCAAATAATAGCAGACTTTGACACAGGCAAGGAAATGAGCTGGGATCTGGCTCTTTCTCACTGGAAACAGTCTTGGATCATGGACTTTCAGAATAGATCTTGGTAGATCTATTCTAAGCTAGTGCTTAGCTGGAAAGTATTTCCTACGCTACCCAAGTTGTTAGAACTTTCTGCTTTTAAAATTTGTGATGGTGGAAGAGTCTTACTTAGATAAACTTGCAACATCTGACTCTATAAATTCTTTTTCTTAGAAAAAAAACCCCTAAAATAATAAATTTCTTTTGGAAGCCAACCTATCCAAAGAAACCTAACCCACCTAAAATCTAGATTATCTGCCATCAGTGAGTGCAAGTACAGCTCAATGAACGCAAAGAGGAAAGTGCTCAGAAGTCCACTAGCTGACATGCATTCAAGGGTGCTTTGGGGAATGAGATTTTTGCCAACTACATCCAAGGAAGGACCCAGGAAAAAGAAAGAAGCACTTATCTCCCACACCTACCCTGACCTAGATGACCCACCCTGGGAGAGCTGGCTCTAGCTGTGAGCTGACTGGGACGAGGTGAAAGAGGGCTGGTCCAGAGGAACCCTGTGCCACTACTTCTGGAACAATCTCAAGCAGCACAGTTAGACGTGGCCTCCATGGCAGACCCTCACAGGGGAGGTTTGGTCATGAGCAGTTCTCATGCAGGAGCAAACAGGTGCTTTGAGGTTCATGGCTAAAGATGGAACTTCCCAACAGCAATAGATCCGTGTTAAATTAGGCAAACACTTCTCCCAGGAAGGAGGTATTAAAGATCAGTCCAGGGACAAAATAAATGACTGCAGGCCTGACTTTGCTGAACACCCAGACTCTTGGCCAACAGAACTATTTGTGGTCTGAGAGAGTCATGGTTCTTGCCTCGAGGGTGCAAGCCGCCCCTTCGGCCTTGAAGCATGTGATTTCTTCCATATTATCTGGCTCCTGATTTTAGCTTTGCAGAATGAAGTGCATGCATTTCACTATGTTTGCCTCATGCAGAAGTCAAACAGGAAAAGAGAACATTTAAAAAAAAAAAAAAAGACTTAACATCTGTTGCTGAAGTCTAAGGAGAGGGCATTAAATCCCTTATGAAACACCTGTTTGGCCACATGAAAATTGATGTGCTTAATAGAACTCCTATCAGTCTGCACATCTCACATTGGCAATTAGAGTAATGAATGAACCGGGGCCATGACTGCAATTGTTGATCTAATTAAGCTGGATAAACTAATTTCAGAAGGAAGGCAGAGGATAATTCTTTCAAAGCAACGACACCACTAACCTTATTTAAAAACCCATGTATAGAGGAGAAGAACCAGGCTGCCTGGCGTAGTGGCCAGAGCCCAGCCTGGAGTCCGGACCTTCCATGGAGACCTCTCTGGGTCTGTCTCCTCTGTGTGGGAGCAGCGCAGGTGACAGGGGAGAGCGTGCTCGTGGGGTGAGGGAAGGATGGGCCAAGTCCAGGACTCCCATCAGGAGACCTCACCCCTGTACAGCCCTGGCGCTGGATGTCCCACCTTGAGAGAGCTGGCTCTAGCAGTGAGCTGACCGGGAGGAGGTGAAACAGGGCTGGTCAGCAGCCAGGCCAACTGCTTTACCAATCCTCATTCAGATCTCAGTCTTTTCTTCCAGGGAATGTTCTAGCAACAGCAGTCTGCTCCACTTGGGAGGGCACTTTTTTTTTTTTTTTTAATTAAAGCGGATTTTAACTTCTTGGGAGTAGGTGTTGGACAGATTCACATTTACATGGAGCAGAAATACCAACTGGAATGATAGCTGGGGGCTGGAGGGAAGGCCACAGAAGACGGTCTCTAACTCTCCAGAAGGTGGGGGACGAGAAACAAAACTTCAGCTCTCAGGGCCAGTCTTTCTCCAAAACTAAATCTCAACCCAAGTCTCTTCTCAGAGGCTAGTATTTCTCAGACCTTACCGTATACACAGGACAAATCAGAACTGGCAAGCTATTCCCCAAAATACCCAAATGACAATAAAGACTCTGCTGGAGATTTTGTCTGCATGTGGTCTTTATCAACAAGGAAAAAATCAGCACGAGCTGAAGGGTTTCAACTTAGATTCATTCTTAAAAGATTCATATCAAAGTCATCATGTGGGGTCACCTGGTACCTAGAAAATAATATTCTATTTAGTTTATGTTTTTCCCCTCATTTCAAAGGCTGAGATGCACATTCTTATCTCCAATTAAAGACCAACCTAAGGCTTTTTTTTTTTCTTTCTAACTGGTGAAAACACTACTGGGAACGTGGTATACTGGTTGTGGCTCCCCAAGCCAGGAATAAGAGAAAGGCACAGAAAGACATGCCCTCAGCCAATGAGAGAGGAATTTCCCAGGTGTCTTGAATGAAATAGATGGTCAATTTGACCATGAGAACTTCCCATTGGAGTCTGGCAGCCAGCACCTCCATAGGTGTGTTCATTGAGGAAAGAGCTTGGCGCTAAGGCAAAAGGTCATAAATGTTTTATATATTAGTAGCTCTCTCCTGAAACCAACACTATTTTAATTTCCTATCCTTAAAAAGATTTCCTCTGAATTGAAGAAGAACTGGATCATGTAGTCTAACTGTGCATCTTGCAGACAAGAAAACTAAAGCCCAGAGGGTTGTGGTGACCTACCAAAGGTTATGCACCCAGCCCTATCCAGCCTTCATGCTCTTCCCTGGCCCTACACCCTTCTGCCTCCGTAGACAATATGTGTGGGTCAGATGGCAGTGTAATTATGCTTATGGAACTCACTTTATAAAAGAGCTCTAGAAGGACTTTTTTTTCCCACCAGAAATTGTTAATCCCACTCCCACACATCTGAATGGTTCTAAGTATGTCTTCCTGCATATTAGACCTACCCGCACTTTTCTCAAGACCCAGCCAGCCCTTTGCCAGAAATTCTTGAGAATCAGGCATCAGTGAGCTTGAGAACACTGACTGAACAGAAGCTTGACAAGATGTGAAGGAATCCCTGGCGAAGACTTTGCCCACCATATACAAACGCCTAAAGGATTGAGAAACCTGCTCTCAATCAATATCCACAATCTAATCTCCTTGGTCATCTCTCCAGATGTGCCCTTTACACCCTAGTTGTGCACAAAAAATGATATTTAAACATGGCCCTTGTACACTGAGGCAATGGGATTGTACCAGAAGGAGTAAGAGTAACAAGTATTTGTCGAGCACCTGCTCTGTACCAGGCACAGCTGTGTATCTTCCACCTGACCACAGCCCATTAAATATTAAGAAGGTTTGGTGTCTTGGCTCTTGTCTATCTCTGATGAGTTAATAAATGTAATCAATAAGTAATTAAAAACAACCTGATGTGTTTCAGAGGATAAGATCTTAGTGAATTGTATGGGAGATTACTTAGCTGCCCTCTAGTGTTCTAGAATGATTCACAAACCTCTGACAGTAGAGAATGCCAAGGAAAGAGTACTGAGTTCCAGTCTAGGGCAGGGGCCACCAAACTATGACCTGTGGGCCAAACCCAGCCCACCACCTGCCTTTGCACAGCCCGTGACCTTCAAAATCCCAGACCTCTAAGAAAGGGATATAGACTGAGATAATGTTGATAAGTTACTTGAGTTCCTCCATTAGAATGAAGATGCCCTGTAATTCACAGAGAATATAATTATTATATTGTCAAATTATTAGCTCTGTGATTGTCATATTAACAATAGAGATAATAATTATACAATCCTAGGTGATACTTAAAGGTTCTGAGGAAAGCAATGGGAACTTTTGTTTCTGGGTGCATGGAGTTTTCTCTCCTTGAATCACATACTCCCAGTTCTCACTTGCTTGACAACAGGAAAACTGTCATGAGAGAATCCATGTGCAAAAATATAACAAAGTATAAAACTGTGTATTAGTGAAGGCATGTTGGATCAGCAGTGGACAATTCACTCTGACAACAGAGAGAACAGCAGAGCCGAGAGGAGTCACACATTTTTTTTTAAATCAAAATGTTTCTGTCCCATTTGGTGGTGGGGCAGGGATCAAAGTTTGGGCTATTGGGATGAATCTTTTCTATGTATCAGAAACTTCAAGGCAAGAGTGAGACCTCAACTAATCTAACTAGGATTTGCAACTTTGAAGATAATACTGACAATGAACCTTTTATCTAATTTGAAGGTCCCCTTGCTATGACCATGATCTTGGCTCATCCAATATAATTTCCCTCCTTCTTCCTCTTCATGAAAGGCATTATCTTATGGATATAAATAACACACATGCATTACCATACACACACACACACACACACACACACACACCCTCTCTCTCTCTCTCTCTCTCTCTCTCTCTCTTTCCTAGGACGATAAGAAAAGGGAAGGGAAGAGAAACAAGATACAACATGTTGGTGATGCTCGAAACTTTTTACCAAACTAGACTCACGCTTTGGGGAAGAAAATAAAAACATATCTTCTTTACCTAACATTGACTATATAAGGACTTCTACAATCCTGTAAGCATGGTGTTCACTGGTGAAGGGAAGCAAAAACCTATTTATAACCATCGTGTGTCAGGTTCTCTGAAGTTATAAAGGAATATGGAACCCTACAAAGAGTCTAAAATTTAGACACTGCCAGAAGTTACTTCTCAATTTCTAACTAAAGACTGCCCATCCAAGAAGTACTTTATTACTAATTGCCTTTTAACAAATCATTATTGGAAACCTGATTAATCCCATTTGAACTTGGGTTTAGGCTCAAAATCTGCATGTCAGCTGTTTTTCCCAGCAATCTGTGCCATGGAAATTAATTTCTAAACTTCTGTGAGCTTTTTCAAAATTCTACCAAATAAATAAGCAAACAAACTCAGCTCTGGGAAATAAGTTGTTTCCCAGAGTTGTTAAAACACTACTGTTCTTCATTTATAGCAAACCCTTCTGGCTCTGTCAGGAACAAGAAGAACCAGACCTTAGCCACAGAAAGGGCTGCAATGTCTGTCTGTTGTCATTGCAGGTTGGATGGGTCCACCAGCCCTGGAAGTTTGATGTGCCTTTCCCACCCTCCCTGCCAGACTTCTAGAGCTCCAAAGAGAAAGGAAGAGAGAGGCAGGGGCTTGTGCTGGGCTGATTTATGGGAATGCTGAAGATGCAAAAGGGAAATAGTATAATAAGGGAAAAATCCATTTTGGCCTGAAGGTTATACTAAGTTCATGGAAAGCATAAAAGTGATCCAATTTATATTCCCTATCTTCTGTTTAGGATCTGGTAGAGCAACCTACATTTATGTTAAAAAAAAAAAAAAAATCAAGCTCATGGAAGTCCAGAAGGCTCTTAACTTGGAAAATAACCCCTGGCTCTCTAAGAGTTTAATTCAGAATGGCCCTGACTTTGGGATTTCCTCTAAAGCAAGGACTCGTGGGCACACTAAGCAGCAAGTCCCCACGTAGAATGGGGGAGTGGGGGCAGCCCACGTTACACAGTGGCTTTCTGGAATAGAAACTAGGGCCCTGAGGAAGAAAGAGGAGGAGTCTTACTGAGTGAGGAGAGGGTCTGCTTCCCTTCCCAAGAACTGACTATCAGGGTTTCTTTTTCAGCTAACTCTTCAATGGCTCTAGCAAATGCAACACTCTTATCCAAAGAAAGAACACTCCACACACTCTGTCCTCCAGCTGCTTACCCAGTAGAGCACGTCTGTCCAGCCCTCCATGGTGATGCACTGAAACACGGTGAGCATGGCAAAGGCAAAGTTATCAAAGTTGGTGATGCCTCCGTTTGGGCCAACCCAGCCACTCCTACACTCGGTGCCATTGGAGGCACACTGGCGTCCATTCCCTGAGAACGCACATGGCGCTGGGTCCTCTTCGGCTAGGATATCTGCAAACAGAGCACACAAGCTTCACCACTCCAGACATGAGCACCAGGAAGACCAAAGCCGGCAGAAGCAGAGTGCCCTTGCCAGAGCCTGGAACACCGGCCTCCCAGCTATGCTGTCAGACTCCCACTTGACCCTCAAGGTCCACTTCAAAGACTCCCTCCTCCATGGCATATGCCATTTCTGTACTCAGAATCCATGGCTCTCTCCTCCACCCTGACTCTATAGCACCTTTCTTAAGTGTATAGAGAACAATGGTGGGAATTCCACTCATGTTCTAGTATTGGGGTTACCTCATCTTATTTGCCAGGAATACATAGGAAATCAGGATAGAAAAGGAGATTAAATCCTCATTTATTCTGAACATAATTCACGCTAAGAACTGGCTGGTTCTTACTGGTTTTACTGGTATATTTGGCTTCCACCCCTCACCATTTCGTTTTAGATTTTCCCAAAACCACAGAAGTTATTTTGGGAAAAATTAATTTTTTTAGAAGTTAGGTTAGCTACCGTTTTCATTACTCACCTGTGTCAGCAAAAAAACATGTTTTGTGCATTTTTCCAATAAAAAGTTCCAATCCTATAATAGCATAGATTATGATTACAAATAATACCAAAAGGGCTATGTGAAGGAGGGGAACCATGGCTTTTATAATGGAGTTCAGGACAACTTGTAAACCTAGGAGAGATAGAAATAAGTTTGTGAGCCAGGGAGATACTTTAAGGATACATACATATACATATACTTCAAGGATAAATATATATATATATATATATATAATGTGTATACATACATACATATATACACACATATATATACACACACACATATCTGTATATAAATACACATAAAATTCCTGATGCCCTGATGCCTGCTCCATATAGGACACACAGTAATAAAACTCAAAGAGATATTTAACATTAAATTAACATTAAACCTGAATGTGAGATAAGTTAAAAAGGAACCTAAAAGACCATCTAATCCAACTGCCTCACGCAACAGATGGAAAAACTAAGCCCGAGAGGACTTACTGCCCAATATCAAAGTCAGTGATTCATTCATGTGTTCGTTCATCCATTCAACAAAATTCCTTGAACAGCTACCATGTGGCAAGCGTAAAGTTTAGTGCTTTGGGAAATATGAAGATGTATTACATAAAGTGCCTTCTGTCAAAGAGGGTATGTTCTAGAAGGAGACATAAGAATTAAACACAAATTACCCTAGGGTAGCACACAGACGCAATAGTCGAACAGTTAAAATTAAAGAGGGATGGACGAAAGACATCGCTTCTGAGCGGCAATAAGACAGAGGACTGGGTAGCAGCCCCCTCTCGCCAGGGCCTAAAGGTGGAAGAAGATGGATTTGCACAGGTGGGCCTGGGACAGGGGCCACTCTGGCCAGAGAGAAGAACACCAGAAGCACAGAGGTGAGCCAGGCATTGTGGGCCGGGTGCCCGTGAGTCTTGGTTGGTGGTCACACGGTGGAAAGAAGATCAGGAAAGAAAAGCAGATTGCAGCAAGGTAGCTCTGGGTATTAAATTGGATTACAGGCCCAGACTTGAGTCCACTGGCAAAACCCCCATGCCTAACCAACAACAAGCCTGTCAAAAGGAGGCTCCCCCTGGAACGAGGGAGGGAGGAGGGGTGGGCAAGAGCCACTTTGCACCGGGGAAGCTGGATCTTGGGCGTAGCATTAAGAGGGAAGTGTTGTGCAGCTGGGACGTGGACCTGAGACACGAGGATGGGGCCCAGACACCTGGAAGTTCTGCACAGAGCAACACTCCGAGCTGCAGCGCAGGACAGGAGTGAGATCACGGAAAGAGTGTGGGCGAGGTGACCCCGAGGTTAGGAGCAGGTGGGCAGAAGCAGCAGACCAAGGGTCAGAAAGAAACCAGAACCCACACTGAAGCCAGGCTTCCGGACTCCTGGGTTTAGCGCCCGTGTTCTCCCCCCACCCCGTGAGCACAGACGCTGCTCTGTGCCCTTCACGCTTTCCCCATTCTTCCCTCTCTTCCCCTGCCCCTCCCCGCCGTCTCTCCCCCTTCACACTGCTCTTTTAGAGTATCTTCTCACTCTCCCAATACACACGCAAAGAACGAAAGGGCCTAAGAAGCCAAGACGCTAGCAGACAGACAGAAGTCACAACACACCAAGCAAAGAGAATATTCATTAGCAACAGCAACGAGAGTTGACTGCGATTGAGGAGGATTTCAGACTCAGGAAGAGCCCGTCTTTCCAAGACCCTCATTACCACCCAAATCCTAGGTATTACCTTCAGATATTTAAATGTTCAAGTGGTTTTAGAAAAGAAAAGATTAATAGGATGACTTTTAAGGTTTTCACCTTTTATCAGGCATTAGATGAAAAGAAGTAGCTGCTCTAATGTACTCAGGGGTTCGTTTTATCATTTGGGTTTTTGGTTTTGTTTTGTTGGGTTGGTTGGTTGGTTTTTGTTTTGTGGTTTTTTTTGTTTTTTTTTTTTCCCCCAGACATGGATGGGCCATTCAAAATCATCATCTGGCAGTTAGCTCTTCTAAATTCTATGGAAATTCTCTGGTAGGGAGCTGTGTGTTTCATGAACATGTTTGTTCGCTGTATCTACTGTATTTCCGATTGGCCAAATTTATGAGATAATGAAGTTTATCTTAATGTGAATGTGCAGACTTTACTGACATTAGGCTCCTTTGTACATGATCAGCGCATACAACAGAGCTCACGGGACTCCAGTTCTGGAGACAGTGGGGTGGAATGGAAAGAACACTAGGCCAGGAACCAGGAGAGTGTCCATCTGTCCCCATTCAGCCACCCACTGGCTGTGAGGATCTGCACGAGTTGCTGCCCCTCCACAGCCCTTGGCTTCCTCATCTAAAAGATGATGCCCATGGATGAGAAGGTCTGTAGGGTTCTTTCCCATTTGATGGTCCAGGACTCTGATCAATATTTATCATCTGAGTATGGGTGGTTAATAACTCCACAAACGTCTGAACTCTCTTTTACAATATATATTTACCTGCCAACGAATCAATATATATTCACAAACACACACAAAATCGTGTCTTATAGAACAGTCCGAATTCTCTATAGAAGGCACAAGATAATTCCCAGGTAAGTGTAAGCAGTCACACCTTCCCTGGCATTTTTAACAATTTCAGGGTTCTTAAGAAATCACCAGGCCCCAGTTGACAACCAGCATGGAAAACATTATGACCCAGAACCCCCAAAAACACCATCTCCCCCAAGCCCAGCTGGGGCTGATGAGAGACTTGGGTGTTCTCCACTAGGGCAATTAATAAATGTGGGCTGAAAAGTCCTCAACAAGACTCAGGTCCCCATTGCTCCCTGCTGACCTCTGGGAGAGCGTGATGTAGAGCTCCATCCTGTTACAAAGGAGACAAGGAAGAAATCTAGTTTAAAATGTGTTCTCAAGAACACCCGGGAATCCTAGACTAGTCATTTAGTGAAAACCTTGTTAAACAAGGAAGCCAAAACAATGATCGGTGAGTTTGGGAAGCTTCACCGGCCAGACTTACATGCATGAAGCCACAGCACCCGCTTGTCCTTACAACATATGCTGCAAACAGGCTGTCCTGTCATTTGCTCTTTGGGGGAGAAAAGGCTGTCGTGGTAACTTTAAGATTAGATTAGGCTATAACAACTAAATCTGAAAGAACATGCTTGCTCATTGAACTTCTCATTTCATCATGTTACACATAACAAAACCAGTCATTTCCAAGGTATTTCTATTTTTCTCAATTGCTTCCAGACAGCTCTGCGGTTTTGACTTGCGCTGATCTTTTTCAATGAAAATAAATGAACCATCTGGAAAAACAAGTACACATAAAACACCACTTCCTACATTTTAAAATGTTAAATTTGGAAATCTTTTTTTTTTTTCCAGGGAATTTTTGGTGTGTCCCGAGTGCCAACAGGTTTAATAAAATTTCATGAAAAACTCCTAGAGAGGCAAAAACATGATCTGTGCTCTTTTGATGGCTTTGGGAGTCGTGAAAAACAGGCACACCCTATTGTCCCATAGCCTTCTTCCAGCTGGAGCAGGCAGCTGCCGCCACAACCCTTGGAGAGGCGCTAGGACTTCTACCTTCAAGTCCCCACCACGGGTGTCCCTCGAGGCACAGAGCCCAGTGAAGCACACTCCATGCTCCTTAGGGGAGCAGAAACAGCCTACAGCTGCCAGGCAGAGCACAGCCAGAGCATCTGTCCCAGCTCAGGTGGCACTAAACCTGGCCCAGACATCTGGAGCAAAAAGCAAACTAGGGCCTGGCACAGACAGGTATCATAGCCTAGTGGAGGAAAACAGCATCTCTCGCCATGGAGGGCCGCCTCTGCTCCAGACATTGTGCTGTGGGGGGCTCTCCCTGCATCATCTCACTCGGTCCTCCAAACCACCTGCAAGCAGGTCCTACCCTACCCTACATACAGGAAGGACCTGGAAGCATCCGCCTCTTCCCCCAGAGCCAGACATGCGCAACTCCTAAGAGTGGAGAGCTGAGTTCCTGGACGTTCCAGGAGTCCAGCCCCCTGTTGCTGCTCACTTTGAAGAAAGGCAGTTGGCCGGGAGCCCTGCAATACCCTCCTCCTCTGCATTAGCCACCACTCTCAGAGGGGCAGGCCTGGGAGCAGGAGGAGGTGGTGGCTGCGAGGTGTCCAAGAAGGAAAACCAGCCTGGAATCAGGAGGCCTGACCTCAAGGCCTCATGCCACCACTCGCTCAGTGTCTCTGTAAGAGAAGAGTCTCCTACAAAATCAGGAAGACAACAGTCACTACTGGCCCTTTCTCAGGGCCGTCATGGGGGTCCAAGGTGACCACGCAAGCAAAAGCGCGTCGTGAACCGTGAAGGCCACCGTGGTCGTCTGCAGAGCCCCTGGCTGGCACACCGCAACTCACCTGGCAGCGCTTGGCTCCAGAATCCTGAGCCCCACCCAGAGGAAAAACCAAGTCAACAAACTCCTGGCTTTAGGAAACAAGACGTGCTTACTGGGCACTCCTGACACTAGTCGAAGTGGTCGTAACACCCGAAAGGCGCGGAGGGCTTTGACATCGAAGCCTCCTGACTTGCCACTGGAGTGGTTACCGCCTTCTGTTTCTTTGGTTAATTGTTCCAGAATTACACTAAACAATCTGAAAAAAAGAAGAAAGGAAGAAATGTTAGAGTCTGTCACCCAGGGAAGCAGCACGGGAGGATAATAGTAGTTACTTCTGCACAAGGGCTAATTCTGTGGGGCTGCTGCCTACATGAAAGGGAAGAAGGGCAAAGGCAAGAATCAGGCTGTGAATCCCAAAAGCCACCCCTACCTGTGACATGACTGGGACAAAGACTGAGCTTGGCCGTTCTCCTGCCAACCCTGAGCAAGTCCGGTCCCATGGAAGAGGGGACTCACTGGGGATCCAACGACGACAGGTGGACACCCCGGAACATAAGTCTCAAGGACAACCAACATGGCGGCTACCTTCCATGCACATTCACTATGTGCCAAACACTTTACATACATTATCTCAGTCCTCACAAAGTGTTATGCAGTAGGGATTCTTAATCATCTTACACACGAGGAAACACACTTGATGAGAACAAGTAACTTGCCCAGGGTCACACTATTAGTGTAGAACTAACGAATGAATCCAGGTATGTTGGCCTCCCCAGTATCCAGGTCCCATGAGGACGGGGACTTTTAGTCTGTGTTGTTCATTTGTTTGTTTACTCTGTTCAAGCCTAGTGCCTAGAACAGTTCTCAACACAGAAGGTGCTCAAGAAATATCTGAGGAGTAAATCAATGGGTGAATGAATATTGACTTCAAAGTCCCAAATCTTAATCAACGTGTTACACCATTTCTGGTACAGACCCTGACACACACACACACACCTCCACCCTCACAGGGATGTTCAAGGAATGATGTAAATCACAGATGCTGAGGAGTTGTGCAAAGGCCAAAAGCAGTAACCCAAGGTAAGGGATTAATATCGTCATTTTCTCTTTTGAAATGTGCATAATATTGTATCTGGCAGCCACGACACATTTTTCCTACTCTCTAAAGGTTTTTCGGATAAAGCTATTTTCAGACAATCTGCTCACTTGACAGTTACTTTTGCTCTTTCAAATAAACATTTATTCTTTGGAATTATTGCTTGTTTTTCAGAATAAATATAAATTTGCCCATTTCAAATAGAATCAACTCCAGCCAATCAGATTGTGGGGATGACTGGCCCAGCAACAAAGAAAAGGTTTCCAAAGTTTAATTAGGAGCTGAAGCAGAAACTCTGCCCCCACTGGCATGCCTCTGGACTGCCAAGACATGAAGTCCATAAAATACAGGGTGGTCTGATTACAGTCCTGATCAGGCATAGTCCTATCGTTCTGGGGCACTGAAAGACCAGCCATTTGTTTGAACAACACTACAGCAATTAGCAGTGAATCTAGCTGGGGGCAGAGGGGGGTGGCGCCAGGGGGAGAATAAATCAAGCCTCTACCTTTTCAAACCTTCAGATGGTGGGCTCTCTCTAGTTATGACTGGGGACATAGATCAAATTTATGACCCGTTTCTCTCATTAGAATAGTTTTACTTTTTTAATTACTGTAGACCCCTGCAGCAAGGCTCAAGTTAAAAGTCTCCCCTCCAAAACAAGTTCATAGCCTCCCGAAAACAAAGAACAAGGAAGAAAGAAAACCTCAAACTCTTCTGAAATGTGGCAGCCACAGGAATTTTCATCCCAAAGGGTTAGGAAAGTAATTTATGCAGGTGGTGACTGAAGATCACTTTCAAGTGTCTATGTTTTACAGTGCATACTTCACGGTCCTTTTACCCCTTGTTCTTCAGCAATGCCCTTGAAAACAGGTGAATGATGTCTCGCTCCCATTACAAAGGAACCTGAGCCAGAGAGGGAAGCTAGCTGCCTTCTCCAGATAGCCAAGGGTGGAAGGGGCTGGGGCTGGCTTCCATTCCTAAGAGTTAGGAGGCTTTAGGAAAGTTCCTCTCCTCCTCTGGGCCTTAGTTTCCCCCACTCTGTAAAAGGAGAAAACTGGATTAAATGATCCAGAGCCCTGCCCTTCCCAGTCTAATATTCCGTGATTCTACTCCCTTCACCACTCATGCCCCCCCACCCTCAACAAAAAAAGTACCACACACCTGGCGAGTTCAGGACATGAGGAGAAAGTATTTGATCCTAGAATGTTACAAAGTTTACCCCAACGCAGGAGCAAAAGGCAAGGAGCTACTGAAATGGACTCAAGTTAGAAATGAGCACCCAATGTTCTTCTTCACAAAAGCTTAAGTGATGAGCCTGAAATATATGTTGACTGAAACATTAGGTGGGTAGAATAAACTTTTCTATACAGGGAACACTATCAGCTCTGGTAGACACATTGAGTCCTCCTGTGGTCACACTATTATGGTTAAAATTTTAGAAGTATCAATTACTTCCTTAATGTCTCTGTTATTGGGAATCTTGACAAAAGCAATAGGTCACAGTTGGCTTGGAATGGAAAATCCACTGGATTGAGATACAGCTTGCAGTTGGAAACTTTAGTGAGTAGGAATTTGATTCCCATGAAGACCTAATAACTTTTCTTTTTTTCTTTAACTTTTCTTCTGCTCTTTGACTATAATTTAGTGCATATTTTGGATAAAAAAATAATCAGATGTTCTCAAGTTCTTCATATTTAATGAGAAAGACCAATGAGACCATTCCTATTTTAGTTTCCTAGCTAATTTCTTTTAGTTTTTAAGTCAACTTTATTACAGCTCAACTTATATATGATAAAATACATCTATTTGAAGTGTACAATGAGAGGAGTCTTAACAAATGTAGAAGTCCAAGTGCAAACACCACAGTCAAGATCTAGAACATTTCCACCATCCCCAGTAGTTCTTTAATGGCTCTGTGCAATTATCTCCCTCTCAGCTCAGCCTTTGGTATCCACTGATTGTCCATCACTTTGGTTTGTTTTTTTCCCATTTCCAGAATCTTTTATAAATGAAATCATACAACATATGTTCTTCTTTTAACTTCTTTTGCTCCCCATGTTTTTAAGACTTATCCAAGTTGTTACATTTATTCACAGTTCATTTCTTTTTATTGTTGGGATATTCCATTGAATGAATATATCACAATGAATCTATCCATTCACCTGTTAGGACATATCTGGGTTGTTTCCAGTTTTTCTCCATTATGAATAAAGTCTCTGTGAGCATGTGTTTTCATCTATCTTGGGTAAGTACCCAAGAGTAGTGCTGGTAATATGGTCCTGTGGTTAGTGTATGATTAACATTTTAAGAAGCTGGCAAACTTTTCCAAAGTGACTGCACCATTTTCCATTTCTACAAGCAGTGTATGAGAGTTCCAGTTGCTCCGTATCTTGCCTAAGATGTGGTATTGAGAGTCTTTTTATATTTAGTAATGCTAGTGGGTAGGTAGTGTGTCACTGGGATTTTAATTTGCACTTCCCTAATTTCTAATGATGTTGAACATCTTTTCAGGTGCCTGTTAACCATTTACATATCTTCTTTTGTGAAGATCTATTTGAATCTTCTGCCCATTTATATACTGGGTTGTCTTCTTACTAATGGGTTATAAGAATTCTTTATATATTCTGAATGCAAGTCCTTTGTCATATATCTGTATTGTGAATATTTTTTCCTAACCTGTGCCTTAATTTTTAATTTTCTTCACACTATCTTTTGAAGAAAAATTTTAAATTTTGGTAAGCTCCAAAATTTCAATGATTTCTTTTATGGCTGGTGCTTTTGGGGTCCTAAAAAATCTCTGCCTGCCCCAGGGTCATAAAGATCTTCCCTTAGACATTATATAGTTTTAGCTTTCACATATAGGTCTATGATCCATTTTAAGGTAATATTTGTGTATGTTATAAGGTAAGAATAAAGATTCTTTTTTTTCATATGGATAGTTGTTCCAATGCCATTTGTTAAAAACTGACTACAATTTAGTACAACTTATAACTCAACTCACTGAAGTATCAAGGCACCTTTGTCTAAAATCAATTGATCACATACATATAGGTCTATTTCTAGCATCCCTAAGTCTGTTCCATTGATCTTTATGTCTACTTCTTATGCCAACATCATACAGTAGTCTTGACTACCGTAGCTTTATAGTAAGCCCTAAGATCACGTTCCAGCTTTGTTCTTAAATATTTCTTTGGCTAATCTAGAGCCTCTTTAACTTCCATATAAGTTTTAGAATAAATTGTCAATCTCTACAACAATCCTCCTGGGATTTAGATTAGGATTCAATCTATAGCTCAGTTTGAGAAGAACTGATAGCCTAACAATAACTGAGCTGTCCAATCCATGAACATGGTACATCATTCCATTTATTTATTCTTTAAGTGCTCTCAGCAAAGTTTAGTCATTTGTAGTGTGCTGTTTATCCCTAAATATTTCATGCTTTTTGATGCTATAGTAAATAATGCCTTTAAAATTTCATTTTCCAGTTGTTCATGACTAGGATATAGAAATTCACATGTTTTAATACTGACCTTCTCTCCAGAAACATTGCTAAATTCATTCAGAATACATAATTTTGTATGATTTTAATACTCTTAAATTCAGTGAAACTTATTTTATGGCCCAGAATATTTCTTGGTCAATGTTCCATGTGCATGTGAAAAGAATGTGCTTTCTGGTCTTGAGTGTTCTAAAAATGCCAGTTAAGTCAAGCTAGGTGGTATTGTTCAAATATCCCTATATACTTAGTGATTTTCTGTCTAGATGTTCTATCAATACTCAAGGGAGAAGTATTAAAATGTACAACTACAATAATAGAATAGAACTCCTTTCAGTTCTTTCCGGGTTTGCTTGGTGTATTTTGAAGCTCTGTTATTAGGCATATATTGTGTATCTTCATGAAAGAATTCTTTCATCACTATGAAATGTCTCTATCCTTGATAATATTCCTTATTCTGAAGTCTACTTTTTTGGACTAATATTGCCAATCTACCTTTCTTTAGATTAGTTTTCACATGGTATATATTTTTTCTGGCTTTTTACTTACAAATTCTTTGTAAGTAACCTAACCTAGGTTAGGTTTCTTGTAGATACTCTAGAGTTGGGTCTGGGTTTTTTTTTTAGTGTATAAAATCTGATAAACTCTGGATTCTAATAAAGATTTAGCTGGGTTTAAATCTACTATCTTGCTATTTGTTTTCTGTTTGCCCTGCTCATTGTTCCTTTTTTCTTCATCCCTTTTTTGAATTAATTGAGCTTTTAAAAATTCTACTTAATCTCCAACACAGGCTTATTAACTATACCTCTTTGTTTTTTCTAGTGGCTCCTCTAGGGCAAATGTCAGCAAAAATCTTCTGTGGAGTGTCAGAGAGTAACTATTTTAGGACTTGCAGGCCATAGGGTCACTGTCACAACTATTCAGTTTTGCCATCCTAACACCAAATAGCCACAAACATGAGTGAGTGTGACTGTCTTCCAATAAAACAATCTTCCAAAGCAGACAGGAAAATACTTTGCCAATGTGAAAAATTAAAAAAGGCAATAAACCATATCTGGCCTATGGGCTGAAGTTTGCCGGCCTGCGCTCTTGGGTTTGTAACACACATCTCTTATTACAGTATACTTTCAAGTAATATTTTGTCATATTTACCACCAACTGTACAAGCTCTTTTCAATAGTATATATTTTCTTCTTCCTGTCCTTTGTGCTATTATTGTCGCATATTTTACTTTCATAGAGCTACAAACTCCACAATACATTGTTACTACTTGTGCTTTAAATAATCAATTACTGAGAAAAAAAAGTTTTTATATTTACCCATGCATGTGCCCTTTCTGGAATTCCTTTAACATTTGTTGAGGTACAGGTTTACTTGGGGTGAATTCTCAGCTTTAGTTTGTCTGAAAAAGTCTGTTTTTACTTCAATTGTGAAAGCTATCTTCACTGAATAAGAATTCTAGGCTGACATTTTCCTCAGCACTTTAAAGATACCTCTCTACTGTATTCTGGCTTCTATAGTGCTGACAAAAAGTCCAGGGATGTCTTTTTCTCTGACTACTTTTTCAGATTTTCTCTTTATCCTTGGTTTTGAGCAATTTCATTATGAATTATGGTGTACTTCAGTGTAGCTTTCTCTATGTTTACTTTGCTTGAGCTTTGTTGAGCTTCTTAAATTTGTGAGTTTGTATTTATCATCACATTTAGAAAATCTGGAGTCATTTCTTCAAATATTTTTTTCTGGCTCCCCTCTATCTCCTCTCTTCTGGGACTCCAAATATATGTATGTTAGACCACTTGATATTACCCTGCAGGTCACTGAGGTGGTGTTCAATTTTTCTCGATTATTATTCTTTGTGTTACTGCTAGGTCTTCAAGTTCCTTGACTTTTCTTTTTTTCTTCTGTTGTGTCTAATTTGCCATTAAGCCAATCCAGGAAAATTTTTCAGCTCTCAAAGTCCCATGTGGTTCTTTCTTATATTGTCCCATCTTTTCTCATTATGGTCATGTGATCCTTTATGTCCACAAACTTATTCATAATAGCTATTTTTAAAGTCTTGTAAAGCAATTATCTACTAATTCCATCATCTCTGTCATTTCTAGGTCTGTCTCTATAGATGGAATTTCCTTCTGGTTATGGCTCATATGTCTTAATTAATGGCCATAAGATTTGATGGGATGCTGGACACTTGTTAAGGGTCTGGATTTTGTTGTCTTCCTTTAAAGAGTGTTGAGTTTTCTTTTGTGAGGCAGTTTGTTTTGCACGTCAGTTTGCTCCTTTTCAGGCTTCTTTTCAAACCTTATTAGCAAGGGATTCAGGTGATCTTTACTCTCTAGCAGGAGTTGGCAAAACTGTTCCATAAGGAGTCAGATAGTAAATAGTTTAGGCTTTGTGGACCTAAACTACTCAAATCAACTAGGACCACAAGGCACATTTATGGAGCTCTTTCTCTGAAAAGCCCCCTCCCCCTCCCATCTCATGTCTGTCAAATTTCAGCCCCATTGGCCTTCCTGGACTCTTGTCTTGGTCTTCTCAATGCAATGAGAACACCACCCTCTGTTTGGTTCCCTTTGTGCTCTACTATAGTCTGAAAAATGTCTCGAGGTAGAAAGCTGAGGTGATTGTAGGGTAAGGACAAAAGAAATGGAGCTAAGCATCTCCATCCTGTAGCTGAACACAAAGTCCAGGCTCAGGAGAGGCACAGTGAAATTATTCCAGAACCAAGGGACCTGCAAGGCTCCTGCTTGCCATTCCTTATTAGATTTCAGCAAATACAGGAAGGTATGGTACATACCTACTACCTGTTCATTTTAGCCACACTACCTTTGCAGTAGTAATACCTTAGATGACATGTCCTCTGGTGGTTTTTGCAAAAGCTTTTTTCCCCTTAAGTCTAATTATCCCACTGGGCCATTTTGGATCCCATTTGAATTTCTGAAGGTTTGAAAGGGCAGGTTCAAAATTTATCCCATTCTCCTAATATCCAGCTATATTAGTCTCTCATGGAAAGCCAAAGGATTCACGATTTAAAAAAAAGTAGCCTATAAGAAAAATTACATTGCTCAACTTCAAAAGGCAGTTGACCAAAGTTATGGAGATGAACACAGAGAGATTAACAATCTCTCTAGGTAGGACCACATATAGTTTTAGGAGCAACCCATTTTGCAGCTGGGTAACAAAGACTCAGCAAAGGGATAGATCTTCTTTCCCTATGTGGGTATTTGGTCCAAAGGCCCAGCACTCCTCTGATGTGGATTCATTTTTTTCTCTCGCTGGCAAAATTTCCAGGTGTGGCAGGACCAGAATCACACAACGCAGGCCACTGCTTTTTAACGCTCTTCTTTAACTAAACTGTTGGTGTCTCCTTCCTGTGACAGGATTTCTGGAGAATGCCTGCTTCTCTGCATTTTCTGGCTTATTTCATTTCTTGCCAGATACCTGACATTATTCAGACACTTGTTTTGTTATTTAAAATGGGACAGTAGCATGCCAAAGTTTTTCCCCCAAGCAGTAGAAAAGTTAGTAACTTTGCTCAGGTTGTTAAATAGCAGAGTACCTCACTGCTCTGAAGGATTTATTACTGTTTTACTGGTTTGCGCGTTTTTTGTTTTTAACTTACCAGGGTGCTAGTTATGAGAGTTCTGCTTATTTGACTCTAACTGCCAGCAGGGCTGGCCTATTTGTGAAGACCCAAGTCCTCTGTAAAATGACCCCTCTTACACTGGGAGCTTCAACCTCCTTCTATATACGTTATTGGAAGGGAAGTAAGAACAAGGAGGGGATTTGAACCCAAAGACTGATAGCAGCGTCACCCATCTTCAAAACCCCACTGGTTGGTTCTGGCCACAAGCACTGGCAGAGAGGAGTGACCATATTCCCTCAAAAAACTGTGGTTCTTCATTACTCCCTGCCTCCCATATTCCAAACATTTCCCCAAAACAAAAGGGACTTACCCTACTATTACTATAACAAAATCCAGTAAATTCCATCCATTCCTAACATAAGCATTAGGATGTAGCAATAATCCATACGCTATAATCTTCAAAAATGTCTCGACTGTAAAAATAATCAGGAAGGCATATTCTACTTTTTCCTGTGAAGAGAAACAAAAAGGGGGGGGGTGGGGGAGAAGAAGGAAAAGAAACAGGAATTAGAATCAATAGCTCAAAAAGCATTTTTCTCCAAGCAAAGTTTTATTATGAGAAATGGCACCATTAACACAGCACCTGTGCCAGGAAGGAAGATGTTTTAATTCTAACACTGAATTTCTCATAAGCAGCTAAGTGTAAAACACTTTTCATTCCAGGCTGCATGACTGCATTTTGCCACCTGCCCTGATGCGTGTGCACGGAGTCTGCCTGGGACATAAGGGGCATGTTTGTTATTTGCACACATTTGCAAAACGCAGCATGTTTTCCTCCTGAGATTGCCAAATCAGGCCCAGAAAAGCACAAGGGGGCAACAAGATTCCAACGGCGGCTTGGAACAGAATGTCCTTTGGAAGAAAGGAAGATGCAGCTGCTTTGACCCTCTCTCCTCCTCTTGGGTTTACGCCCGATTTTAAGTCATGGTCCTCTTTGTCACAGAGCAGCAAGGTGACCTGGGCAAGTCCCTCTTCTCCTCTGGGCCTCAGTCTCCACACCGGCACAGAAGGGGAGCAAATTCGAGATGGCAACCCCCCCGTCCCCCAGCTGACACTGCTGAGTGGTCGCCACATGCCCTCCCAGGGAGTGGGGGCTCAGCCTCTGCATCCTTCCCTCCTACCGGCCCCAGCAGCTGTTCCCATCTGGCTGCCCAGACCTCGGAGACTCAGCCCGCAGGCTAGCTGACTCTTAGAACCCTTCCCGTTCCAACTGAGGCAACTTCGTGCGTCCAGAGAACACACCCCTCAGCAGGTCTAAAAATGTTGACTCCCTTCCTCTTTTGTGAAGGTTTTCTTTATGCAGCTTCGGCTTTAATAGAAATACTGACCCACTGGGATGTGTGCAATTAATTTTATAAGAGGCACTCCCTGGCAAGAGGCTACTTAATAACTCAATGAAAAACCATCAGCAATTAAAACTCTTCCACATGGGCCATAAAGCCCTCCACAAATATTAATTCTACCCTGTGGGACCCAGGGAAAGTTACCAATACCTTAGGAAAACGGAAGTCACAGAATTCACTTACAAAGACGCCTGATGCAAGTGGTCAAATGAATTTGGTTCAGGAAACACTGAGTGAGCACCTCTTCTACATGACAGACCCCACGCCAGGATCCAGGATTAGAAAAACAGCTCCACTGCTGTCCCTACCCCTGAAAGGTTTAGTCTGGGAGGGAAGGGAAGGGAAGGGAAGGTTTAGTCTGTTCCAAACATGAACACTGCGAATGCCCCAAGGCAGGTAGTGGAGAGGGTGCTTTTGCATCCTGAGCCCTCTGAAAAGGCCGAAGGACTGGTCCACTCCTTCCCCCACCAGGACTCTGCTTTGCTACATGACGGCGACGAGATGGCCTCAGCACCCTCCTGCCAGAGTGCTACCCCTCTGTCACCTGGCCAGGCCTTCCCTGTGTCTCCCCCCACATCCTCCCTCTTTTTTTTTTTAAATATTTTATTTATTTATTTGAGAGGGAGAGAGGGAGTACAAGCAGGGGGAGCGGCAGGCAGAGGGAGAAACAAACTCCCGGCTGAGCAGGGAGCCCAACTCAGGTCTCGATCTCAGGACCCAGGGATCATGACCTGAGCCGATGGCCGACATTTAACCAACTGAGCCACCCAGGCGTCACTCACATTCTCCCCCTCTACCACCAGGGCAAGCATCCAACCACCGCTGGACCCCAGCCTTCATCCACCTTCTCGACTTCCCGCTGGTCTTGCTGAAAAGCCAGTTCCGTTAGTTCTTCCGTACCAGGTCCCTGCCATCCCTAACCTGTCCTCCAGAGCTCCCTTTGAACTTTGAACACCATCCAAGAGGTCTAATAAATTCTTTTGTGGTGTGAGTTAGCCAGAGTCAGTGTATTTTCAAACGTACAGAGTCTCACTCATCTCCAACCTGCACACCCACGCTTCCCCCTGACCTCCCAACTGGCCCTGTCCTCAGCCTGGCTCCTCCCAGGTACTACACCCCCTTCATGAGGCTGCCAAGACCTTCTGCCAATATGACCCCTTCTCCTTCCCCACAGCCATGCCCTCCGGGCATGCATGAGCCTGCAGACCTCCGGTGACTCCTTCATTTATTCTTCATATTCCCTGAGAGCTGGGACTTTGCCACTGGCTAGGGAGGAGGGATCCTGGAAGGCTTCAGTGAGGTGGTAACGCTAACTTTGAGGGCTAAAAGGAGAAACTCTGTTACTTGAACCAGAAGCAAAAATCCCTGAAAACACCAGCCCACTATACTCAAATAAGACCCTGACCACCAAATGTAAGTTGTCAATATGCTTCTAAGACGTGGAGTTCTAGGGGAACAAGATAAGCTGAAAACAGCATGCTGATTTTACAATTCCTTTTCCCTTTTTATCACTTCTGCTTTATTTACTAGGCCAAACAGAGAAAAAAGGCTTTTGCTGCCATCAATATTCATAGCAGTTACATCCCTACGTCAACACAGTGCTATACTTCAGAGCAGAAAAACAAGGCAGGGAACAGAGAGTACATCTAGTGAACACAGCTTGTTTTTCCTCTTCGGCTTTTATTTGTAAGTAATAGTGCCACAATAATACGAGGGCCATTAGTGTAACTGAATTGTTTAGGGTTCTTTTATATCCCTTTCTCTTGTCCTCCTCTCTCTCCTTTTAAAGAATTGGGTTTCTCTTTCCAAAAATCCTTAGTGCATTACTTGATGGAATTGATTGTAGGAAATGTAATCTTGCTTTATTGTGATTCTTTACTACAGAGCCTCTACCCTGATGCCAAAAGAACCATCACAGCCTAAAGAGCATTCTAGACCAGTTGGCCTAGAAGCCAGTTCTTATCCCCAATCCTGCCATTCAAAAGGACTCCTGTAAAACAAATATACCTCCAAAGTAAATGTAACATTTTTAAAAATTTTGCAAAACAACCATCATGGGCAGGAGAGGTAATTATTTACAAAAGAATTGGTCATTTGAGAAAAGAATGTTGAGTTAGTAATTTGCAAAGGAAGTCACCAGGAGGGTCAGGTTCCTAACTGGGCAAGGTGGGAATGCACACCCAGCGGAAGAGGCCCCGTGAAATGTTGCACAGAGAAGATACAGGGTCTGTGGCCCACATGGAGGGGAGCGCAGAGGAAGGGCATGGCTGAGGAAGAGGCAAGCAGGAAGCCTCCAGAACTGGACACAAAAGAAGGTATCTCGGGGGAAGGGCTGCTCCGTCAAAGCTCACAGGCCCTGGCAAAACAGAGAGATGAAGTAATTCCTGCATCCCAGTCTCCCTGCATTTGCCGGGCAGGACCACTCGCCTGTACACTCATGGAGCCAACAGCGGATCCTGGGTGTGCAGGACCAGTCAGATCTCCTTTTAAAAAAAACCAATTCCTCCTAGCCAGACACCACCCTATGTAGGGATGAGAGTCACCAATGAGACCTCAAGCCACCTCAAGGCACCAGAAATAAAGACTCAACATCTAATTCAGAAACCTGACAGATCTTCTTTCAAAAGCAAAGATTCAACATGGAGAAGAGTCTCTGCACCAGTTAACCTTGCAGAGAACTTTGAGAAACTGCAACTGTCAACAGTAATGGGTGGGAGATGCCAGGACCCTCGATGACACCGGCTTCTCGCCTTTCTGGTTCTCAGGGGCCCTTTCACTAGAAGTGTAGTATGAATAGCCAGCCAGCCAGCCAGCCAGCCCTGGTTCCTCTTCAGAAAGCCTGATCTGTATCTTCACAGAGTTCCCAACCTGCTGTCAGAAGATAACAAGGACTTGATGAGCCTAGTAAGGTCCAACTCTTTGCTTTGGTCATCCACCCACATGGCCCCAAATCTTTGGAAAGGCTCTCCTGGCTGACACCGTGGTAGTGTTGCCCATCCCACACACACCACTCTTCCTCACCCTACGGTAACAGGGTCCCTATTTGGGGGGATCATCTCTTACTGTCTTTGTAATCCCGGCCCCTGGTGCCCACATGGGGCATACATAAGGTACTCCACAGGAAGCAGAGAAGAGGGAAGGAATACAGCAAACAAAGCTAGACTTAAAGGGGACTGAAAAACAGGAGGTTTTGTGATCCTAGCGTACATATCAAAAAAGCAAAACAACACGGATATGTATCTAAGTTGCCATTAACCCTTTCTAGAACGAGCTTGGAAGAAATGGTCACACTGCTGAATCGACGACTGACCTCAACATCTCGCCTGGCCCTTCCTTTCCATCCTGACCCAAGCCTACAGGGAACGTCCTCACCCCTCCTTCCCTCGCTTCCTCAGTTCTCTTCCACGAGAGCCCTGCATGCCGCCGAGGGGCCCCCCTGCTTCCCCACCTAGGGTGCCCACTTTCATCATGTGTATAAACGCCTCTCTCCAGAATGAGCACACAAGGGACACAGAGTGGAAGAAGCCCAGCCTGCGGGAGCGGAAAGAACACAGGGCTTGTGGCCACGGGATCTGTTTTCTCCCAGCCCCCAGCTCAGCTACTATTTCAGGTCCATGTCCCGTTCCCTCTTTCTAGAATGGTTTCCCCCACCCCACGTTCTCATCAGGCTAAGCACTTCCTGTCCCTCAAGACTCAGCTTGAGTAACACTTTCTCAGAGAAACCTTTGCTGACCTCCCAGACAAAATAAGGGCCCGCTGTTAGATGTTGTCAAAGACCATGATGCTTCTTCATGGTCCTATTCACAACAGAAATTTTAAATTCCTTAAAGTTATCTCTTTAATGTTGGTCTCCTCCAATAAATGAATTTCTATAAGATCAGAGACTATTTCTATTTCATGCATCATTATATTCTCAAGAGGCTTGCCACAAAAAATAATCAATATTTATAAATGAATAAAGAAATGAGCAAAATGCGAGGTTTTGACCAAACATTATTCACCGTCCCTTCCTGCTAAGAAGTTCCATAATTGTTTTAGTCTGCTCAGACTACCATAACGAAATACCATAGACCGGGGGGCTTAAACAGCAGAGTTCCCTCACAGTCC